TGTGCTGATGATCATCGATTCATATTAAAGGTAAATTAAATAACAGAACTAGCTAACAGAAGTTGTTTATTTTTTTTATGCATGTTGATAAATTACATTGCCTTTCACAAGGGAACATTTGATCTTCTTGTTTTTTCCCCCCGCAGCATATGGTTGGCTATTGAGATGATAATGAAAAAAAATGAATAATATGAATTTAATTTACGTGTAACCATGTTCTAAATTTACATTTGATCTTTTTTTCCTTTGGCAGTCAATGGTTAAGGGCCTGCTTGCATTTTTAATTTTTTAAAAACAGTTTTTTGTTTTGGAAAACAAAAGCAATTAAAAAAACCATGTTTGAAAATATATGTTCACTTATTTGTTCGGAAATTTGTTCTGAAAACAAAGAAATCAGAACATCTTATTAATATTTTCTTACTTTTTTCCTACAAAAGTAAAGAGGCAAAGAACATTGTAATAACAATCACGCTACTACTTAAAGCAAAATATTCCATTTACCTTTCACTTTACCATTATATGATTTTAAAATAATGATTCAGACAGACTTTTTTCTCTAGTTTTTTGTTTTAAAAAATTATTCCACAGAATTGTGCTGATAATATAAAAATACATTAATAGAATCAAACAAGCCATAAAATATGGCAAGTCAGAAGGAATTCTACTTTTTCAAAAGTTTGACATTATTGTAAATGACCCAAATACACTTGTAAATATGGTAATTTGACATGCAAAAATAAATTGTTAAATTTGATGTGTAAATGACACAATTTGACTTGTAAATGTACAAGTTTAATTTGTAACTATGATATTTTTGGCATCTATCTGTATTTAGTTTTCTTACTTGGCACCTATGAGTAATTATCCCAAATTTTTATGGAGTTTGGTGAAAGAGCATTATAAAATTATTACAATTTTTTACATCTTTCTTTTGAATTTCACAATAAATTTATAATAATAAATATTTGTAGAATTCAAACTCTTTAAAATTTAAGATGGATAATATCATAGGCTTAATTAAATCAATCACCGTTTTTTTCTCTCTTGAAGGTGCATGGGTATCACAAAATCTGATTCCGGGGTCATTTAGTTTCTTTTCCTGTCTAATTTGATTGCAGAGTTTGAGGTAATTAACTGCGAAAATATTTTATAATTCTTTTTATTTTATTTCAGTTGTATTTTATTTTGCGGTCTGCTAAGCTCATGATTATACAATGAAAATTCATGTACATAAATACACAAGGACTTTTCCACTTAAACGACTTCTATAATTTGGAGCTAAGTTATACAATTTTGAGAAGGAAAATACTTAGATTAAGTGTTCTTCAATCATATATAGTCGTGTATTATATTTTTTTCATGTGGGTTTATAATTAAATGATAATATATTAAAAATAAGACAGATGACTTTGTATTATCAGAAAATTTGACATAATAAATATAAAGGAATTTGATGTAAGTATTGTCCGAGAAGGAAAATCGGAAGTACTTTAAGTCTTGTTTAAGAAAAAATTTGTCCATTTTGTTATACTCCTCCGATTTTAAATATAAGACCTATTTTGTAGTGTAATATGCGCTACAAAATAGATCTTATATTTAGAACCAGATAAGTATTATTTTTAAAGGTATTGATTAATTTACATTGTTGTCTATAATTTCTTCTAGTATACTATAATTAACTTGAGAATTCCTGATTTTCTTGTACTCTCATAATTAAATAGTTTCAGTTATTATCCTTCTGCATTGGTTTTTGGCTCAAAAGATATCAATATTATCACCGGATCCTTTTCCAGGTAATTATCAGATTATCATTTCTTTATTTTATATCTCCTTTAACTCTTTTTCTTTTTAATGAAACATCTCGTTTTATTCCATTTCTTTTAAGTAGCATGAGAATATTAGAAGTAACACATTATTGATTTTGATGTTATTATTTAGATTTTATATTAATTGGCAAAAAAACAGAAAAATGAATACTTTTTACTTGATTTTATATTTATAATATGAGAGACGAGAGATGCATTGCAGTTTTTCCTCTCATATCATATTGTTGGGAGTTTATCTTTCTGTTACATAAATATTATTATTACAAGAAAAATTTAATCTTGAAATATGATGAAAAATAACTTTAACACAAGACATTAGTGAATTTTTTTGGTTTTAAATATAATGAGGTATTTTAGCTTTTATTTATCTTATGTTATTTTCACTTACAGTCGCGGCCTAGGAATGAGGAAATGTCTGAGCAGATTTCGAACGAGAAATCATAATGTTTCCTTTGTTTTTTTTTTTTTCAAAGTATAAAGTTATATTACATATAAATTCAAGTAAAGAATAATTTCTTTTCCTTTTTGTTTTAATTTTGTTTATTTATTTAAAGCCTCATAGTTTCACACTCTTGTTTCTTTTCTTTAACTTTTTCAGAAGCAGTTCTAATCATCTTCCTTCTGTTTTGCTTTCCATTAATTCTTGTTCTGCCTTAATAATCATCAAAATTATCTCAATTCATATTACAGGTAAATAACAGGATATAAGTTATTTATTTTACATGACAATAAATTATATTTCTTTTAACAAGAGAACATAATTAAAACAATGTGTAAATGTGATCTTTTTTCTTTGTTCTTGGATTCTATGATGACAAATTTGTTTTAGCATTCTTTTCGGCAATCAAGATGATAGTGAAAAATAAATAATTTGAACATTGTAATAATACTGGACTAAATTTTATATGACGTCTTATGATGTTTTGGGAAATATAGGTAAAAAAAAAAAGGTAAAAATATGATTTTTCTTCGTTCTTGCCTCTGAATTCCACACAAAATATATGATTCACCCTTTTGCTATTAATACTTTTATTTTTTAATATTTAAATCCATTTATATTTATTTATTGGAAACAGGTAGTTCAATTATATAAGGTTAAATATCTGTATTTTCTCTGTTCTACGATAAGCTTACAGTTGTTATATATAGAGAGGGCTAATGGTGATTTTTGCCCTCGTGGCATATATCCACCAAGGAATTATGCGTATTTGAAAGTATTTTAGTTTAATATCACTCTGAAAGTATTTTCAAAAGAGCAATACTGTTCTAACTATTGAAAAATATTAGCAATCGACTTTAGTGTTTTTTTTTTTAACGGATAGGAGTGACTTTGTTGTTTTTTAACAATTCCATTATGACATTGAGATAAAACAAACTTTTGGATGCATAAAGCTCCTCGCAAATATTTTCAGAAAAAACCATTTTATAGGTATCTATTGTTTATCTTAATTTTTAATTTAGTATCTGTGTGTTTTTTCTCTTAATTAAAACACTTAAGTTTTAGTTTGTTAACACTATTAATCTTCGTAACTTTGTTTTGTTAGTACCGCTAGCCCCTACACAGAAACTAACGGTATTAACAGAACAAAATTAGAGTAATTAATTTGGAGAGAAAAATACACGTGACAAATTTTGAGTAAATATATGTACCTGCAAGGCCGCAACAATACTTTTTGGGCAAAACTAACCTTTATTTAACCCATATATATATAAATGTATATATAATATTTGATATTCACATTTCTCTGCAAGTCACTTTTGTCAATACTCAGTCGTTTGGATTGAATCAAAATTTTATTAGAAAATCAAAAGTGAAATATGTTAGATGTTAATGTTTGCGTATTACATTGTATCTATATTAATTGAAATTTACTACTGAATTTGATGAATTGTCTATTTTGGGAAATATATACCAGTGAAAGGAATCAGATTATTTTTAACTTATATTATTCATTAAAATCTAACTTAATTATCTAAACTTTCAGACTATAAAAGAGTAATAATACTCCTCCGGTCCTAACTATAAGACCCTTATATATACTAGTAGGTCTTATATTTAGGATCGAATGAGTACTTTCAAACCATAGAATAATATTGCGTTAAACACTTAATTTGTAGGTGCTTTCGATATTATTCTGAATTGATGTTATTGAACATGCTTTTAATCTAAATGAACTATTTTAATTTAAATCACCCAAATCTTGAATGATTCAATTTTCAGTTTTAAGTTAAATATGTACGTATCAAACAACTGATAGTTAAAAAGTTAGTTTTATTTTGCATCATGATTATCTTAGGATAAAATTAATTAAAAAAAGATAATTTTTAATTTGGTCTGTCTTTTTGCAAGTTGCTGATATATTGGACAAGCTTTGAAAATTTATATATATCATATGTTTGTACTAATTGGGTGAATTGTTTTTTGCTATTTTTCTGCAGTTGGGCATCTCTTAATTAATTTCATTTGAGAATCACTCTGTGCACATTTCTGCATTATTTGTCTAATTTCATTACGATACTTGAGGTAAGTAATAATGATTATATCAGACTAACTCGTCCCGCCAAACTCCTTATTTGCTTGTATTTTTATTTTTTTATTATTCGCCATGAGTATAATAATAAGGGAATAACTTCGTAATCACCAAATGAATTGGTACATTGGTAAAGAACTCAAGTAAAGAATAATTTATTTTTACTTTTTGTAACTTCAATTTTTTGATCCAAGGACTCTTGGTTTCGTTATCATCTTTTTTCTTTACATGTCTATTTTATGTCTTTATCCCTTCAAGGGTCTCTTGTGGGCCTTTATTTATGTATTTATATCAATATTTGAACAAAAACTAGGGGAGTGAATATTTTATTATTAGCAGATGGATTGCATTCAACACTAATTAATTGTTTATATTGTTGTTCTTTTTAGTGCTGCGTCATATGACGGGAGAAACATATATGTTAATAAATTATGCTATATATATCTTGCTTTGTCATAAAATATTTATCGGTTTTTCATGAGATGGATGGTGATATAAGACCAATTTTATTAGATATACATTGTCTCAATATATATGTATATATATTCTCTCATTATGATTGCTTGATTGTATATATGTTATGCGTATACAATGGACTTGTATTAGGGATGATTACTTATGACATAAATTATGATTGCATTAGATGGAAGACATTGTCATTGGTATCGGTGGAAAGGTTGTAGAATGCTTGGCGGGTCCAATTCTAGATCGTGCTCGCTATTTATTTTGCTTCAAGAAATTCATTGGGGAGCTTATGGAAGCTGAACATGTGCTGAAGAGAAGACTGGAAGAAGTGAAGGAGCGCATGGAACAAGCTGCTCGAAATAGTGAGGAAATAACACTACCTGTGAAGAACTGGTTGAATGACGTGGAGAAAATTCTAGAGAATATGCAAGAGTTGCAACAAAAGGCTGAAAAGGAAGTAAAGAGTTGTTTGAATGTGTCTCTCAAGTATTCCTTAGCAAAACAAATGGATAATAACGCAAAGAGGATGATGGAGCTAAAAAAGGAGTCCTACTTTGAGAAAGACCATTTTTCTCATCTAATCCAACTTCCTGGCATCACTCACTTCTCTTCCAAAGACTTTGTGGATTTTAAGTCAAGGGAATCTACTTATAAGGATCTTTTGGAGGCAATTAAAGATGAAAAGAACAAGATGATCGGACTCTGTGGTATGGGCGGTTCACGTAAAACCACTTTGGCAAAAGAAGTAGGCAAGGAAGTGGACAAGATGAAGATTTTTGAAAAGGTCATCATGGTCATTGTTTCGAAACCTCCTCTAAATGTTACAAAAGTTCAACAAGATATAGCAGAGCAAATAGATTTGAAAATTTCAGATCAAACTCCATTGGCAAGAGCACAAAGGCTGTCAAATCGATTGAAAAATAAGAAGATTCTTATAATCTTGGATGATGTGTGGGAATATCTAAAGCTTGAAGATATTGGAATTCCACTTGTTGAAGGTTGTCAGATCTTGTTAACAACTCACCTTCGCAATGTATGTGGCTTTATGGGTTGTAAGACTATTGAACTGCCTTTGATAACTAGGGAGGAGGCCTGGGAATTATTCAAGAAGCATGCAAATCTACGCAATGATTCCTCAAATATGTTTGATGACATAGGAAGGAAAATTGTTAATGAGTGCAAGGAGCTACTGATTGCAATAGCAAAAGTTGGAAGCTCCTTAAAGAGAAAACCTATTAGAGCATGGGAGTCAGCACTAAGCAGAATAGAACGTGGTCAGCCATTAAATGTTGCAGAAGGTTTGACCAATGTTAATGCATGTTTAGAATTGAGTTATGAAGGCTTGTCAAGTTCAACAGCCAAGTCCCTCTTCTTATTATGCTCTATGTTCCCTGAAGATCATGAAATTCATAGAGAGGATTTAATTCGATTTGGCAAGAGGACACTTGAGCTAGAGGAGTCTATTGTCACAATGGAGGATGCAAGGAGAGAGATTTTATATGCTCTAGACATCTTGTTGGATTCTTATTTGTTGATGAGTATAGAAAAGGAAGCGCATGTGAAAATGCATGATTTAGTTCGAGATGCAGCTTTGTGGATTGCAAAGAAGCAACGCTAAGCAATTTTAGTGGACAACGAAATGATTTCAAACATGTTAATTGGTAACTACCAAAGTTTGGAAGATACAAAGGTAGTGTCATTGTGGAATTTGAATGTGGGTTTCGAGCTCTCTAAACAATTGCATTGTCCAAAACTTGAGATTCTGCTACTTCAACCTCATGGGTTCATTCAAGATATTGGAGCAATAGAATCACTCAAAGTCTTGGCACTCATAACATGTGGATTTTATTGGGAATTGGGGAGGTGGCTGTATCAAACTTCTGATTCAATTCCACAATCAATTGTATCATTAACAAATCTTCAGACCTTATGCCTTAGAGGGAAAGTATTGGGGGACATATCTCTTTTGGGTGAACTTAAAGGATTGGAGATTCTTGACTTACGTGGTTCTCGATTTGATGAATTACCTGTTGGAATTGTAGATATGAAAATGCTGAAACTTTTGGATATATTTGGTTGTCAAATTTGGAAATGCCCTTTAGAAGTAATTGGAAGATGTGAGCAGCTTGAAGAATTATACTTTTGGGACGACAAATCTGTCATCCCAGAATTTCTTTCTCTTTCAAATTTGAAGAGGTATGTTATCTATGATTCCAAATTAATTTGTCAATATCGGGGTGACCTTTTTCAAGAATATTTGGATAGTTGTGCTGAAGCATTAAGAGCTTTACGTATACAAGGCTTTAGAGTCTTTGCTTTGAATTCATCAATGAAAGATCACATTCTTAGAGCAAACCACCTTTGGCTAGATAATTGTAGGTGGGGTTATAAGGATATAAATTTTAAGATAAAGCACTTAGTGGTATCATGCTGTCATGAGAAAAAATTCATCATCGAGAACCATGATATGGACATTCTTCAAACACAAGTGTTCCAACACTTGATCACTTTAAGATTGTTTGAAATGAATAGTCTTGAACAAGTGTTCCAAGATTCATCTCTCAGGTGCTCTCTCCCCATGTTACAAGAGCTATGGATACAGAGTTCTCCTAAATTGAGAATTTGTATCTTCTCGCATGCCACCATCACGAGCCTGCCAGAGTTGAGAAAACTTCATATTGATGGTTGCAACAAAGTGAAATGGCTATTGTCTTGTTCCCTGGCTTCTTATTGTCCTTTACTGAAGGAAATAATTATAAGCAATTGCTCTGAATTTGAAAGGCTCATTGATGAAGAAGCTGCACATGGGGATCCACTGCTTCATGATAAGCAGTATTATCCAACTGTAAGTATTATTCGCAAAATTCCTGTTAAATCACTGGGTATTAGAAATAATAGTCCGTGTTCACACATTCGATGAAAAATATTTATCTTTTCATTTAATTTTTAAACTGAATTTTTTTGCTTTTCTCTCTTGATGCACATAAATTTGATATCCTTTTCTCAATTTATATGAAATCAATGCCTGTTTATTTTAACTTGTGTGCTGAAAACAAAACTAGGATCATGCAACAGGGAATATTTCACTTGTGGGTGATTTTTTCTTTTTGCTCACTCTACCTTTTTTTTTTTTTCCGAGAACAAATTGAAGATATTACTTTTTCCGTTTAATTTGAAAAATCAGTGCTTATGATCGAACAATACATATAAGCATAAAAAATATATATTCTCAATAACCAACAATAGTCATGTTATTTTTCTTTTTGTTTATTCTACCTCTACTCTCTTTTTAATTTAAAGATATATTTATGTTTTAAAAAAAATTCTTAGTAAGAGATAACAGTCATTTTATTTTTGACTTGTGTCCATTGTAACTATGTAAGGCTCTTTTTATTAGGAAGTTTTCTGAGCTCTGTATTTAGGCTGCACCATAAAACTACTTTTTGGGTTTTTCTTTATTTTCAAGATAATAAAATACTATTGCTTCTCCAAGCTTTGTATTTTTCATATTCATTCTTATTAATTCTTTTTTGGGATCAAATATTTATTGTGGGAAGTACTTATTCAAAGTTGTTCTATTTATAATAAATTGGCATTGATGCATTTTCCATATATAAAATGTTCTTTCTTTGTTTGTTTGGATTTTTCTGCTATGCTTTTTTGTGGATGTGAAAAAACACTTTTTAACGGTGCCTCTCTTGGTCTTAAACAATTGTATGTTTATATTTTAATTTTTGGTCAAATAAATATTTGTGTTGGTCAAGAAATATATAATATGTCTACTTATATATATATCATTAATTAAATGTTATAACAGAGGTTGAATGTAATCATGTAGCAAAACATATATAGAATATTCGTTTGTTAAATATATGTTGAGAGTATGTTAATTATCACCATTTAAAAAATACGTGAAATCAATTTCAAAATTTTGGCCAAAAAAAAAATCAATTTCAAAATGAAAGTCAAGCGTTGTTTGTTATCATAAAATAGTTTGGTAAATCATAATTTCTATCACCATCTATATATTAATTGTGAAAAGTAATTAAGGAAGCTAATATATTATAAATTAGTGTCGTTTCTTTCTTTATTTAAAGACTTTTAACTACATGACAATGTTTGCATAATGAAATTCTATATCTTTGCACTACTGCTAGTCCTCAGTATAAAATATAGTTTGCAGTGCACCTCAATGATAATATTTTAAAAATATATAGGATACATATATAATCATATATAATTGGAGAACTTTGCATAATGAATATAAAGAAGTTGACTTAAATACTGTTGCTTAATATTTATGTTATATACTAAAGATTAAAGGGAAGATTAAGGACTAGGTAGCAATAATAAATAAAAGTCCGGGGACCAAATTTTATATTAAGTTAAAATTATTGGGACTAAGAGATTTTTTTTTTTAGATTTAACTACTAATTATGTTTTGTAACCAAAATACACTACTACTTGTACTTTTCTTTTTCTTTTTTCAGTATTACAAAAATTATTTACAAATTGTCTACTTGTATTTTTCTTTTTCTTTTTTGAGTATTACAAAAATTATTTACAAATTGTCTTTTTTATCTCATTCTTCCGAACAGCACTTTAAATTTTTTGTTTTATATTTTGTCAATAAAATAATGATTTAGGATACCACATTTTAAGATAAATGTTTTTCTTAAATTTTCTTTTGATATTTAAAAAGATCTCTCTTACCGTGCCTCTTTTACTGCTATTAAAATTTTTATATTTTCATTTCAAGTTTTGGTAATAAAAAAAAGTCGTGATTGTTACTATATATATTTGTCTACTTGTTAAAAAGGATTATTTACTAGCAATAGTTGGCAATAATTAATATATAATATAAGAAACTTACTGGGTTTAATCTCCAATCTAGTTAGAGTAAAAAGCAAGTTGTTATAATCAGTCCATTTCATAATTTTAATTTTAATCCATTTACAGGGAAAGGAAACTGACAGTGCTTTTGTGGGCGTTATAGCAAAAAGATTCAATCAGTTACAAAATCAGCAATCATTGATCCTTTTTCTAAGGTTGAAAAGTCTACACATTGAAAGGAGTGGAAAAAAGAAAGGTATATTGGAAATCCAAGTGAGAGGAAGAGTAGAAGATGATGAGGAATATATTAAAGTACAAGAATCTCTAAAGCTGGATTCAGAGTTGAGTGAATTAAACTTACATGGTCTACCAGAATTGGAATATATTTGGAAGGGCCCCATCCAAATTGTGAGCCCTTATAGACTTGAAAATGTTTCATTGCAGAACTGCCCAAAATTAAAAAATATCTTCACTCTTGCTATTGTTGCAAGCCTTCCAGAGTTGAGAACACTTGAAGTATATTATTGCAGGGAATGGGAGGGAATATTTTGTGAAGAATCACTCAAAAACCTCTCTTCTTCTAATATTTGCTTCCCCAAACTTAAGCAGATTGACATATGGGGTTGCCACAAGGTGAGATGGTTGTTATCTTATTCTCTGGCATGTCATTGTCCTTCACTAGAGATTATATCCATAGACCATTGCTCTGAATTTGAGGGGCTCATTGATGAAGACGGTGCACATGGGGATCCACCACTTCATGATATGCAAGATTATCCACATGTGAGTCTTATCCTCCGCAATGTCTCTCTTGAATCATTGCATATTAGAAATAATAATAATCCATATATGTTGACGCATTTGCTAAAGTAGCCATGTTCAATTTACATCTCCCGTTTATTTGAAAAATTGTTGTTTTTTATCGTATAATGTATATTTGTATAATCATTAAAGATAACTTCTACAGTAATTATTTTATTTTTGACTTCACTTTATTATACCTGTATAAACCTCTTTTTATTATTAAATTTTCTTAGCTATATATTCAGGCTGCACGACGAAACTATTTTCTGAGTTTTCCTTATTTTCATAATAATAAAATATTATTTCCTTTTTGAGCTTTGCCTTTTTCTTATTAATTTTTTTAAAATAATGACTTTTATTTGTCAGATGCGGTAGCATTTTATATTGCTTATTCTGCATTTTGTTCAAGGAAATGACTTTTTCATATTGTTTTTGCTATTAGGTATTTATTGTGGGAAGTGCTTGTTCAAAGTTATTTTTATTCAAAAATAAATTAGTGTTGATGCATTATAAAAAAAGATATATATATACACACACAGACATTATTTATTAAATGTGATATAGTTGTTGTAATAGAGAATTAACATAATCATGTAGTAAAAAGTATATACAACATTTGCCAGTCACATTTTCCATGTTACTATAAAGATTGATTGAGTCTGGTGAAACGCATGTTGCGATTATGTTAACACAATTTTAAAAGTACGTTATTTTTATTTTGCCATCAAATGATCGATTCGGAAAATACTTATAATGGCTAGCATAATATAAATTAGTGTCTGTAGAAGTTCTCACCAGAGATTTCAAACATTTGTATAAAATTTTTCTTTCACTCACCTGCCTCTTTTTCATAGAATTTCTATTTAGCATTTACATTATGCTACTAAAGATTAAACTGCTCGAATTTTTCTTTTTCTTTTTCCAGCACTACAAAATATTATTTGCCAGCTGCATTTTTTAATTTATCTTTCCACATATAAA